AAAAAAAAAAAGAGCTCTGGGACAGCGCCCAGGCCCTAAATTCAATCCCCCAAATCAACAAATAAAAAAAGGAAAGAAAGAACGGATTGGGAATGGTAGCTCACATCTATAATCTCAGCTACTTGGGAGGAATAAATAGCATACCAGTTGGAGGCCAACGGGGGCCTTCCCCCAACCTCAACCACTTCTGGGGTGTGGAGGCATGTGCTTGTCATTTCAGCTATACAGGAAGCATGGGTAGACAGAAGGATCACACAGTCCAGACTCGCCTGGGTAAAATCTCTAACCGAAGCAAAAAGGTTTGGGGACATGGCTCAAGTGGTAGATGTAGAGCGCCTGCCTTGCAAGTGAGTGGCCACAATACCACCAGAAAAGAAAAAAACAATATAAAAATGGGCCTAAAGCAACTATGCAGATTAAATGTTATTGGATACTATGCAGAATAAAGACTGTGTAGTATGTGTGTGGGAAGTATTTCTGACATCTAAATGGAAAAGTGAGGAAAAATTATGTGCATATGTAGTATGCATACAAATAAAATTCTCAAAATCAGAAGAAAATATATAGAAAGAAAAATAACAGAAGAAACAGTGCCAGAGTTCTGCCAGTGGAAATCATACTGCCAACCACAGAATGTTCTGAATTATACTCTTAGTAATTTATGTCATCCTAATTGATAATTTTAAACCAAGCACTTTAAATTTATTAAAAACTCTTTTGACTAGAGAAAATAAAGCCTCGTTTCATGCTGGTGATGTTGACACTATTCTAGCCAGTGAGGCAGAATCTGAAAACAAGCACATTACATAACTCTAGCCGTCTTTGAACTTCATGTCCTTAATTTTCTTGAGAGCTTGGGCTAAATGAGAAGCTAGGAAGTATATTACAGACATTGTCTTTCCTCCAGTTTCAAATAGTAGTTTCTCAACCAGATTGATTCTAAGTACACCAATCCCTAAGACACTGCTTGATAGGATCTGGACTTCATTGCTCTGATCTTGGGCTTTCCAACTCTTTCCCTGTCTTGCTGCTCCCCAGTGTTATTTGCTGCAGTTATTCCTCTATCATTTTTTCTCTGCTTTGACCCCCCTCTCTCTCCTCTGCCACTTTCAAATTTATTTGAATGGTTTGATCCTTCCTAACAAACCATTGGAGATAAGAATCTCACAGACTATCTTGCCCAAGGTTAGTTTCAAACAGTAATCCTCAAATATCAGCCTCCCAAGTAGCTAAGATTTCAGGCATGAGCCATGGGTACCTGGCTTACAACTATTTCTTATAATGTTGTTCTATTAGCACACAACATATACAACTTTGAATTATAGTAACAATATAGAGACAGATAGTAAAAAAGAGAGATAGTTGAATTCTATTGAAGACTATCACATGCAAACAATTATTGAGCTATTTGTTATTGGTTGTATTATATACAAATGGTACACTCCAAATGTAGACTGGTCTGCTAATCTGAGACTCTGTTTGATATTTCTCTGCATTTAAAAAAAAGAGGCAGACAAATGTCACCCCAAATGATCTTTATCCTTTATTCTACGAATCTGGCATTTATCTTGGTAAATGCTCAGTAAGGAGTTAGTTTAGTAGGCTCAGGTTTTTTAAAGCCTGTGTTTTCCAAACAAAGGCCTCTGTTTAGGACCACTGGCCCTTGACCAGCTCCTAGAAAGTGACTTCTGAGTCCTTGGACTATCCACCCTGATAAGAATGCTTTAATGTGCCCAAAGCTTGGGACCACAATGTACAGGTTTTGCTGGATGGTTTGTATCAACAAGTGTCTTATTGTGAATACATGTTTTGAAACCTGGGGCCTGATGCCTAGACCATTAGGTCTCTGGAGGGCTGAAGATTGAATAGTTAAGGTCAGATGTCAAGCAGAAACCTTCAAAGCCTAGGGTTGGGCAAATTTCCTTTGTTAGAATTATTTTACACGTTATTAACCATTTGTCTGTGCTCTTTCTCTTTGCTGATTTCTCTTTTTCTCTTTCTTCTTTGCTCAGTTATTTTCTGTATTTATGATTATGAAACGTAATCATAAATATTGTAACTTTTCTGAATTTTGTCAGTCTTTTTCACAAATACTCAGAGCTGAAGGTAGTCCAGAGAATGCCTGATACAATAAGATATAAAATTCATTTTTTCTCTATAAGTAATCAATTATTCAGTCTATTTATTAATAATACTCAATAAATCTCATCCTTTTGCCAACACCACTCTTAAAATAATTACTATAGCTTTATATTAAATCATGTTTAATCTT